GGCCCCTCATCGTTGATCGAGAACTGCTGTAGGCTGAAGGCATCGAAAAGATTGAATTATTCAGTCTTATTAGTCCTTATGTTATCAAAACACCTAGGAAGCAGTTACAAGTTCAATCTTTTACTTCAATCCAATAGTTTCTGTCAGTTCATCCTCGAGTACGCATGTCCTTTCAGGCCCCTGCGAATCTTGCAATCACCACTACTACTGCAATGACTACCACCATAGCACCCACGGAAGCAGAGGTATCACATTTTTTCAATTCTCACTCTAATTTAGACAACATTGGAGCTCAACAGGACGAATTGTAGCCTACCGTACCATCTACGAGCTCTAGCTCCACTACCACCACTACGTCCACCACGAGCACCACTACACATCTGCAACGACCACCACTACTCCCACCACTACCACCACAACAACTACCCCCTCTACTACGACCTCTACTACAACTACCACCACCACCACTACTACTACAGTACCTTCTACTACGGTAAAAGAAAGAACTGTGGTGTTGCCGGTGTCAGAGCCCACGCTTGAACCACCAGATCTAGTGATAATACCACTTGAGGAAGAAGCCACAACGCCGGCGGGAGAAGTGGTCGAAGTTATGGAAGAAGTCATGACAACAGCAGTGGTGCCAGGCTTAGTGAGTGTGGCTGCCTCACCTCTGTGGATCTGTCCTCAATAACGCTTTGCCCCTTGCTGAATCCCTGAACATTCCAGCTAATACCTCTGCGCTTTATAATACGCTTGCATCTTGGCTTTACACTCACCTTTCTGCTGCTAATAACACCTTCCCTTCGAAGGCTTTGATGTTCCCGAGTGCTACATTTATTTTCAGCCTGTTGCTGACGGTGCTTGTGCTCTGGGATTGGATCCTCGGCCTCCAAAAGATGAAGTGGACGGAACAAGGTTCGGACTGCAGCCCAACAGTCGCCTGGAGTACGAGGTTATGCCGGATTCATTCGATAAGAGGTAAGCTAAGCTTTCCTTTGATTGCCTTGGCGGAACCAACTTGCCACTTTCAGCGGTACATTCTCCCTTCAAATTCGCCCCACTGCTTTCAACGGAGTAATTTTGTTCGCAACCAACGACAAGCATACTGACCACATTGGACTGTTCCTGCTCAACGGCCGTCTTGTACTCTCGTTCGACACAGGCTCTGGACAGGTAAGGATCTCGCTTAATACCTCTCTTATTGATCTGAGTCCATACGTTGGTTTCAGACTATTATCCAATCAAATCGATCGTTGGTTTCAGACTATCATCCACTCTAATCGGTCAATTCTTAACGGTGAATGGCACTCGGTGAAGGCGTCACGACGCGGCAGCGAAGGGCTTCTGGTAGTCGATGAAGAATCGGCTGAAGCTGTGGTTTCGGCTGGCACCGACGCCATCGACACGCAGCCACCGCTTTACCTTGGCGGTATACCTAACGAACTGGCCAGCTACGCAAGGACGATCGTGCCGGTAAGTTCGTGCAGGAAATGATCCATCAGTACCGTTCTAAGCAACACATTGTTTGCATATTTATGCAAGGTTGAACTGTCCAAGAAATCAAGGCTAATCCCTGTAATTCCAGGGTGTGAGATCAGAATTTGGTGGTTGCATCAGAGAATTCAAACTGAATGACAAGAAGTTCGACACGATCGCTCGTGATCATGGCATCGGCGAATGCAGCGCAAGGACGGAAAGCGGGTTGTATTTCGGCAAGGAGGGCGGCTACGCGATTCTGAAGAAAGAGTTCCAGGTAAGCTATTTTCAACGGAGCAGTGTAAGACGAAGTAACAATTGGATTCTGAATGACAGCTATTTCTGTTGTGAACTTTGAAAATGGTAACTCTTGAGAATAAATTCGAAAAATTCATATGAAATTTATGCAGCATTTGAGACGGACTAGTATGCTAGCAGAAAAGTGCGCGGTCGCGTTGTGCTTAGAACCAACAACTTCAGTGTGCTCTGTTGAGCTAATCGCTAGTTACTATCCACACTGCTTATTCTACTCATATCAAGCAGTGCGGTAGTTCCTATGGTGAACTTATAGGCGGTGCTGCCCACCATTTGATCAAAGTTTAATATTTATTTAGGCCTATCATATTTTTCATGGCGGTGAGCATTAACCGGGGGGGCCGCGTTGATGGGCGTGATGTTAAAGTGCTCCGGGGGTGGGGGGGGGGAGGGGGGGGGTCGCGACGTGCGCGGGATTCGCACATAGACAGGAAAGTCAGGGATTTCTCAGAAGTTTGACTGGATGGAGATTTCTGCTGCACAGGATGAAGTTAGACGATGATATGAGCGGTATGAGTGCTTTTCGGAAAAAAAAATATTCGCAAATACCATTTGAAACAGGCGGTCCGGTGGACACCATTCTCCCGAGAGAGATTTTTGGCAGCCACCGGTGGCTGCCATTGTCACGAATGGGTTCAAGACATTGCCGCATCGCCACCGCACGCTGTTCTGTCAGCTATTGTGTCCATTGTGTTTAGACTCTTTGAAAGGAGGGGTATTCCAGATGACAGGTTTGAAATACATAAGTCCCACTTGCTGCAATCAGTGCTTTTCCTTCGGTTAATTTTCGGCAGTCTGTCTAATCCTTCATCACTTTCAGGTTGGCCAGTCATTCTCTGCTGAAATGGAAGTGCGTCCGCGTACAAAGAATGGCGTGTTGTTTTCCGTTGGTGTCGTTGAATACCTGACTGTTCAAATCCTCGATGGCACTGTTAAGGTAATTTTGCAGTTCGATCGCTTGCAGTTAAAAATCAATCCGGCACTTTTATGAGCAGACAATTCCTTTAGTTTATCGTCGACAGTGGTTCGGGAGCCGAGTCGCTGATCTATACTCCGCCAACGTCAAACACCATTTGTGATGGTCACTGGCATTCGATCAAGGTTAGTGGACATTAAAACCATGGAAAGACTTTGTACAAAGACAGCGGACAGAGGCGTGGCCTTAATTTTTTGCAACCACACAAGCTAAAATTACTACCACATGCATTGGTCATCAGTACATAGATCCACTCGTCATTCAACCCCTTGATCACAATGGTACAAATCAGGGTGAATAACGGTCGAGGAATTCCTCGACCATCGCTCTCTGCTGTGCGAGAGTAGAGCCGATAGTGAATGTACGCGCGGAGAGCACAGACGGCTCGCGGGTGGCGAGAGTGAATATCCGCGCGCGAGAACGTAAAGGATCAGGCGAAAATCCTCGACGTGCCGTTGAGGAATCCTCAAGCAATATTCACCCTAGTACAAGTACGATGTTATACATCGTTGTAGTACATATGTGTGCCACCAGGAGTAGAAAGATCGAAAGGTTTGGTGAGGCAGGTTGCCGCATCAGCGCATGCGCTTCTGGTAGGCCAATGTCATACTTTGTGAATCGAGTCATTCGTTGTACACGACGCGACCGCGAACGCTTGTGAATATCTTGGAGCGGACCGGTCGGACATCGGCCGTATCGAGGTCACGCTTGTGCTAGCTTCTACAGTTTCGTGTACTACTACTGTACCACAGATGAGCTCGTTTTTTTTTCTTATGTGGGGGACGAGACTTTCTTATTTTGCTGTGACTGTAATTGGAGGCAATGTATAAGTCACATGGTTGAGCTATATCAGTACATCATCCGTTCAGATCATGAAAAAGAAGAACCTAATGACGCTCACTGTTGATGGTAAAAGCAATCTGAACATCATGAAGAAAGGCAAAAAACATGAGACTGTCACAAAGGATCCGATTTATCTCGGTGGCGTGCCGGAATCAGTCGTCAATAAGGGCTTGGAAACTAGAGGTATTATCTCTTTTCAACATTTGAATGCCGGGAGAGTTTGAAACTTGATTTTTTAGAACCGTACGTTGGCTGTATGCGTGTCATGAGTTTGGGAGGTGGTAAGAAGGACAAGATGAGAAGAAAGAAGCAGCTTGACGTCTCCACACTGGACATCTACGGCGACGTCAACAAGCAGGAATGCCCGCTAAACTGATCATTATGTTCACATTTGTCAGCTTTAACACAACGTTGCTTTCAACTTCAGTACAAAAAACTTCAGTGCGAGGTTGTTCTGCGTCTATAATCTGCTTTAACTGTGTGTAACTGGTTTTTGAACGATACTCTGTCAGATTTGCCTCCTTGCTTTGTAAAATTTCGTGCCTGTGCCTTGCCTTCTCACTCATTATATATTTTTTCTTTAATAAACGCTTCGAAGCATGGTTCATGGAAATTCCTAGAAGAATTCAGCATCGGTCAACAAGCGCAAGACAAAGCTTAAAATTCAGTGCAAGTGCTGATTTGCCTACCAACAACGAACAAAATAAAGCAGAAGTATAAAAAAACTTCAAACACGCAGATGATGTCAGACTACTCACGAAAATAGCTCTGACCAGTACTAGCTCAAATGTAGCACAACCGTAGAGCTGGCGTAATTTGACTCCAATCTGAATACGCCAACCCACAAACATGCCCCCATGGGGAGCGGAATCATCATCTGAAAATCCACACTTTTCTGTCCTTGTGGACCGTCCGCGGTAGTTGAACTTTGTCTCTGTGCTCCACATGTCCTACTGTAATGTGGGCCAGTTCATTTTAAAAACGTGGTCCACGTACTGAACGACCGCCTCGGTCAGGAAAGTAGTGATTGGATGAGTTTTCCTTTGTTGATATCGCATTGAATTCAACAGTTCCGATTCTCCTGCTGTGTTGACCAGAGTTCTCTCTACAGAATTAGGTGATACTACTGCTGCCACTAATATTGTTCATTGTTTATTGTTGTTTCTTGTTTCGTACGTCAAAAGACATGCCGTCAAACACATGAAGATGGCTCGTAAAGGGAAGGATCAAAGTATATAAAGATTAAACTCCACAAAAAGACAAGAAAAGTCCTAAAAAGATGCTAAGGAGGATAAAACCATCATCAAATCATCTTAGAATACTGAGACGCTGAGCATTGCCAATTAGGGACAACGAACTAAAAACTTAGCTCAATACGTGCAGTGCAAGACGAGAGCTAGAGGCTTGCTCCGGAAGGAAACCTGGTAATATTTAAGTGTAGACTCCTGATCCTTTAGCGACGGTGGAATGTGCACATTAGAAATATCAATGGCATCACCATAAAGAGCTGGTGCTGTTAGCCTTGTAGCAAGAAAGCAATAGCCTCAGGTAGGAGCCCACATCAGCCGGCTATGATGCCTTCGCCACATTCGAGATCATAGGCACTTGCCAAAACTCCGAGACACGGGTTTACCTGCTTAACGGTGATTAATAAGGATATTCTTATCACTGGGCTTTTGATACCACTTTGTTTTCATTGTTCCTCTGAACAACTGAACCTAATTGTTCAGAAATATCAAC